CAATGGGATGGAATTTTGGAAACTGGGAAATTTAGTGATTGGTGGTGGCAGGTTTGTGAAATATCCTCCCCGGAGGTAGCAGAGGCTGGAATACAACTGACAACTTACCTTTTATGGTAGCTCTGGAAGTCACGAAATTTGTGGATGTTTCAGCAAACTCGCATTCCCCAAGAGTAGCAGTGCTGGCAACCATAAAGGACTGGGAGGGATTTGCAGCTGCTACATCTTAGCTTGACTTTGTCTCTTCTTTTCTCTGTCTTTTTATCTAGCAGTGTGTGTTTCTTTTGCTGTTGTTTTCTTCTCTTTTTTATTGGGGCATACTTGTTATGTTAGGCTTTGGCAGTGATGTAGTAGTATGTCTTTCGGACTGATTTTCTGTTTTTATATCCCATGTGTGGGATTTCTAGGCCGCTTCATTGCGAGTCCTCTCATTTTTCTTTTTTCGGCTGTTGGTCGTGTTTGTATTCGAACGTTGTTCGCTTTGAGTTTGGTATAATATCTCTTTCGTTTCGAAAAAAAAAATAACAGTTTGTAATATATCAAAATATTGTGATATACATACCTGCTCACGGTCATCAAAGGTTGTACTCGGTGCTCCTTGCTATTTGAACACTTTAATAGTTCGGCCATATGTAAAAACAACGAAAAAAAATGAAATCTTAGCATATAAACGAAATCTTAGCATAGTTCGGCCTTATTTGTACAGTAAAAAATTCATTGCATATCTTCAGGCTTAGCATAANTTAAAAAAAAAACTTAATTATTTACGAAATGTACAAATCGTACTAGATCTATAATAGATCTATATAGATCTGTATAGATCTATTACAGATTTGTATAGATCTATTATGTAATCAGGATTTTAATAGAAAAATGCTTAAAAACAATAAAAAAAAATTACAAAAAAATTTGTAGATCTGCAAAGATCTATCATGTAATCGCCGATTTCTACCGAGATACAATGAATTAGTAAATCGGTGTTTTAAAATCGGGACGATTTCACTTTGTCGTCTCCCTTTTGATTCGAAAAATATAAATCTCATGTATTTTTTCAGTATCGACTTGAAAAACAGAATTGAATCGCCGGATAAACACCGTTTTTGGCGAAATTATCGGCGAAAAATGGTCGAACAATTTCAGTAGAGAGATAAATGAGAGAGAGAATCAGTGACAGAAAATTGAGAGAGGCGAGAAAAATGGCGAAAACAGTGCTCCTTTAGGGTTTGCAGTATATAAATGCTATAGCCAGGTGTAAAGACACGCGTCTCCATACTAAGTCAGATGTTAAGAACGTGTCGCCAATTCGCCATTTTAAATCAGCATTAAACATATAGATATAGATATTGCCAGTTATTTGGGCTCAGAACTGGGCTGGACATATTTATTTTTTAAAACCCAATACATAGGTTAGTTAATATCAAGTATACTTAATATGATAATAAAGGCCCAATTTTTCCAACAATTTATATGGGCTCATACTTATATATTTCCTGCCCCAATAATGTTTAATATGATATATAGTACACATATAATTATTACAAGTATTGACCCCAGATAGTTATAGTACAGAAATTTATCATCTAAACAAGTAAAACTATTAAATGTATGTATTTATACATATAGTAATGATTACAGAACTTATCCCGACAAAAACACATCATCTAAAGAATGTATGATTGTTGTTTGTTTAGTATATTGACCATTAACTAATTTTTCATGTTAGGTTTTCAATTCGCAAATTCTCAACGTTCGTCTCAGAATAGTTCCATAACTCAACTCACGAATACATCTTGGAGCGGTTTAGTACATTTCGTTGATCTTACAACGGACGTCGAACAAAATGCTACCCCTACAACATTGGTAACCATGTCGGCAATGGTAATTCTAAATTAATTTCCAATAAGTTGAACTTATATATTAATAATAAAAGAAAACAATTTTTATTGGATCACGTATATTTAAGTGATACTTGTTATTTTGTTCCTTTTTAATAATAATCTATTTGTGTGCAGATTCATCATTAAACTTACCACCTCGGAAGAACGTACGCGGACGTCCGAGGCGCACATTACCTCCCCCCACAAATGGTAATTATAGTTTTATTATTAATTTGTCTAATTTAATTATTTTTAACAAGAAAAAAAATCACTTGAAAATATGTATATGGTATTTTTTAAATAATAATACAATGTTTTATATTGTTTCATCATTAAACTTGTTAGCTTGGAAGAATGTAGGCGGCCGTCCGAGGAACGTATTTTCTTAAATGCCCATTAATACCAGAGGTTCATCGTCATTGGCCAGTTCCTCACACTCATTCATCAGCACTGGTAATTATTTTACTTATGTATTTAATTTTTTTTATTTTTTTTTCATATTTTATCTTTCAAATCCTTTTACCTTTGTTTAGAGCATGGTATATAAAATGATTAATTAGTTATTAATATATTTAAATATTACATTCTGCAGAATATTAGGTTATTGGCGATGCATCGTTCTGTTGCCTTCACCGTGGTGCCAAATTTTGGTATTCCGAGCGACTGGGAAAGCCATCTAAACCTAAGGTCCCTAAGTATTCTGGGTGCTGCAACCATGGATTCATCGAACTTCCACCCGTTTACACTCCGCCCCTCTTTCTGCGTGATCTGATTTTTGGGACGGGTCCTCAGAGCAAGGACTTTCAAGAAAATATTCGGTCATATAAACAACATGTTCTGTTTAACATCCATGGGGGGAAAAATTGATACCGACATAAACAAGGGAACCGGCCAACCCGTCTTCCGTTTGCACGGTCAGAACTACCATTTAATGGGTAGTTTGCTACACGACCATGGGGCCCCTCCGAAATTTGCTCAAGTGTACATCTATGACACAGAGAATGAAGTATTAAACTGATTTTCTTCTGTGAGGTATATATATAATATTTTTAGCATTCAAAATTGAGTACTTAGTTTTTCTTCATTGTGTTTTACATTATCTTTACTAATTCAATATAATTTTTTCTTTGTGTCAGGAGAGGTTCTGAAAGAAATAACCTAGATGAGAATGTAGTTCGTGGTTTAAAGGAGCTACTCGATCATTACAATGTTTTGGTCAAGTCGTTCAGGAATGCGCGGGAGACGGTGAACCAGCACCAGCAAATTGAAGTTAAGATGCGTCTTATCGGTAGAAGGAACAAGGATGGTCGACGTTATAATTTACCCTCCACTTCTGAATTTGCCGCCTTAGTTGTTGGGGATTTCGATGATGCTATGGGCAGCAGAGATATTATAGTAGAAAATTGGAGCGGACTTCAGCAGCGGATCAACGAGTTGAAAGCTTCCTATTTGGCTCTCCATTATTCTATTCTTTTTCCACATGGCGAGGATGGTTATAGGGAGGACGTTTCGTTCTCCTGCCTAAAACTGATCACGGAGAGGTTGAGGAAATTTATCAGCCCGTTGGAGTTCTTAAAATATCGAATGCACGATCGGGACGCCGAATTGTCGTCAATTCTATCCGCTCAGAGGTTGTATCGGCAGTTTGTTGTGGACGCTTATACAAAATGGTAGAGGGAGCACGGCTCAAATACATCCGTTTTAATCAAAAGAACTTGAGAACCGAATTGTACAACAGGCTATCCGACGCTGTGTTACGCGGTGACACGGATCTTGGTTCTCAAGGCAAACAGATTATAATTTCGTCATCCTTTACGGGTGGCCCAAGATATATGATTCAAAACTATCAGGATGCGATGACCATTTGTCGTTGGACCGGTTATCCTGACATTTTCATAACCTTCACTAGCAATCCGAAGTGTCCCAAAATCAGTCGTTTTCTTGCTGAGAGGAACCTCAACCCAGAGGATCGTCCTGATATAATTTGTCGGGTTTCTAAGACCAAGTTGGATGCATTGATATGGGATGTTCGACATAACAAGATGTTTGGAGATGTGAATACAAGTATTTTTTTCAAACTATTTTTTAATTTATTTATTTATATTTTTTATTATATGTTTTGCATTGTATTATTTTTTACCTAAGTATGATTTTACTGCAGCAATCTACACGATTTAATTCCAGAAACGTGGCCTTCCACATGGGCATATCTTTCTTTTCCTTGCCAAGGAATACAAGATACAGACTACTGATGGCATAGATAAAATAATTTCTGCCGAAATACCGGATGAGGCCACAAATCCATTTTACTATGCCGCTGTTAGAGATCATATGACGCACGGCCCCTGCGGAAGTGTTTGCCCGAAATCTCTGTGTATGGTGAACAATTGTTGCACAAAACATTTTCCTAAAAAGTTCTCCGAAACCACGACTCTTGACTAAGAAGGCTATCCACAATACAAACACCGTGATAATGGCAGGACCATAGAAAAGAATGGCATTCCTTTGGATAACAGATTCGTTGTGCCTCATAACAAAAAATTGCTCATGAAGTACGACGCGCACATAAATATGGAATGGTGTAATCAGTCGAGGTCGATCAAATATTTGTTCAATTACGTGAACAAGGGGAACGATCATGTTACTGCCACCTTCCATGTGTCCAATGGAGATGAGTCCTTTAGCAGGCCAGTTGATGAGGTGAAGATGTACTATGATTGTCGATACATTTCATCTTGTGAGGCTGCATGGCGGTTGTTGGAGTATGAGATTCAATACAAGCACCCATCAGTGGAGCGCTTGAACTTCTACCTCGAGAACGAGCATCCGTGCTACTATGACGATGAAGTTTCGATCGATGAAGTGGTTAATAAAAATAAAAATGCCGGCAACAAATTTTTAGCTTGGATGAAAGCTAACAAGAAGTATCCCGAAGCCAGGAAACTGACGTACGTTGAGGCTCCCACCAAATTTACGTGGCACTCGAAAACCAACAGTTGGGAGCCTAGGAAAGGAAGTGACCGTATCGCGCGTTTGTACTTCATCCCCCCTGGTGCTGGTGACATATATTACTTGCGGTGTCTTATCGAAGTTGTTCGAGGTGCAACGTGTCATCGTGACTATATGAAGTTGGACAGAGTACAACACGATTCATATCGTGATGCGTGTTTTTCTCTCGGTCTGGTGGAGGACGACAAAGAGTACATTGAAGGGATTATCGAGACAAGCCAGTGGTCGAGTACCAATTCGTTGAGAAACCTTTTTGCTACTTTGTTGTCTTCTGATACTCTCGGTCTACCGGAGTTCGTGTGGGATTCATGTTGGCCTTACCTATCGGATGATATATTATATAATCGTCGGAGGGATTTACAGCACCCAGGTAAACGAATCATTTACGGTCACATACTTATGTTTTTTTCTTTTTCTCTTATGTCTTTATATTTATAAACTTTTCTGTATTGTTGTTACAGAATTGGTTTTGAGAGATGATGAAGTCAAGAATCTGGCATTGGCGGAGGTTGAAAAAATTTTGCGCAGACATGGTACGAGTCTACGCAAATACGGTACAATGTCTTTTCTTAATCTCGATCGTAATGAGGCATCCACGAACAAACTGGTGATGGACGAGTTGAATTACGATCGTCGTGCACTCGCTATTGAGAATCAGGAGTTGTGTTGAACGTTGCATCGAATGGTATTGCATCACTTTTGCTTTCCGACGGACGCACTGCGCATTCACGATTCAGAATCCCACTAAACCTAATGGAAGGCTCTACATGCGATATTAGCCAACAGAGTCCTTTAGCCGAACTGATCATACGATGTCGATTGATCATTTGGGATGAAGCCCTGATGATGAACAAATATTGCTTCTAGGCGGTTGACAACACCTTGCGAGCCTTAATAGAAGCAGTTGATCCATCAAGGAAAAATCTCCCATTTGGCGGCAAGTGTGTTGTGTTAGGTGGGGATTTCAGACATAGTTAATGCGACCATCAATTCATCCAAGTTGTGGCGCGATTGTATCGTTCTGAGACTTACTCGGAATATGAGGCTTCAAAGCCTTGGTGGGGGCGGTGAGTAAGATGAGTTGAAGAACTTCTCTGAGTGGCTTGCAAACATCGGCGACGGTATAGTCGGTGGATCGAACGACGGTTGTGCAGATATCGACATCCCCGACGATTTTTCTACACTCACAAGGGGATCCTATTGGTACTATTGTTGAGAGTACCTACCTCATGTTCAGGAGTGCAGGTGACGATCTTAGCTATCTGAAGGACAGAGCCATACTCGCTCCCACACTTGATGTGGTTGAGTCCATTAACGAGTACATGAGCTCACTGAACTCATCCGAGGGAAGGACTTACTTGAGTTCAGACACCCCGTGCAAGTCAGATGCTGGATATGATTCTCTTCAGGATCTTCACACTCCTGAGTTTCTCAATGAGATCAAGTGCTCTGGCCTTCCGAATCATAAACTGCATCTTAAGGTCGGTACTCCAGTGATGCTTCTCAGAAACATTAGTCATTCCATGGGGTTGTGCAACGGTACTGTTCATCAAAATTCAAATTGTCATCTACATTTCCTTTTATCTTTGTACAAATTTGAGTGATATGATTTTGTTTTCCGAGTTTTGATGTCAATAGGTACACGGTTGGTTATCACTAAGCTCAGCAGCCATGTCCTCGAATGCAGGATTTTAACCGGTGCTAGAGCTGGTGACAAGGTTCTTATTCCTAGGCTCACAATCATACCATCCGATGTGAGGGTACCGTTCAAATTTCAGCGCAGACAATTTCCGCTCATGGTTTCATATGCTATGACTATCAACAAGAGTCAAGGCCAGTCACTGTCCCACGTCGGATTACTATTGAAGAACCATGTATTCAGTCATAGACAGTTGTATGTGGCACTATATAGAGTCACGAATCGGAGGGGTCTGAAGATAATGATTTGTGGTGATGGAGATTTTGACGATAGAAAAACCACGAACGTTGCATATAAAGAATGTTTAATAATATTTTGATTTAGATTTTATTGCCTAACTTTTTTCTCAACGATCATGTTATGATTTTTATAATTGTTTTCCTTTTTTTATTTTTTCCTCTATCATATAATTTTTTATACAAATGCACGGATCAAAAACTAGTTGAAATAATACCAATTTAATAATCTAGCAATTAATTTTCAAAAAATTAAAGAACTTGGAAGATCAAATGTAAATCCGTGAAAAAAAAAGTACTCAACCAAACAAGTACAGATATGTTGTTAGAAATATTTGACTCGTCCTTGAAACCACACACAAAAGGGGAAATAAAAAGAGAGATCCACAAAAATATACTCAATCAATTGTAAAAATCGAGTAATTCAAGTCCGCACCCTGACCTTCAGACATTAAAAAAAATCTAGGATGGCACCCGTTAAACCCCAACTTTTCTGTCGTTAACCGGATAGAATAATATTGTAGAATCAGGACTTCGAGATCGAGACTAGTGTTACGGCGATGGCAGCAGCGGCGGGTGAAGAAATCGATTACGAAAGCGATCCGGAGGAGGCGAAGCTATCGATGAAGATGCGGAGGCGAGCGGAGGCGAGCGACGACGAGGCGGAGGAGGGAGGCGAAATCAGGGGAAAACCACCGCGAGGGGCTGAAGATGATTCTGGTGGTGAATCCGAGGGTGCTGCGGCGGAATACGAGGATGAATACGTGGAAGATTATGATTTGGACGAGGAGTATGTGGAGGAGACAGAGGAGGCGGATTATAATGACGGAGAAAGTGGCGGTGGGGAAGGGGCAAAGGCAGCGGCGGTGGCTGTGGGAAGAGGTGATGCAGGGGAAGATGGAGACGTCACGGATGAGGTAAAGAGGGTTAACGATGACGCTGGTGAAATTAACGATGGTAATTTGAATACTGAGGATGGTCAACTTGAAGTAGAAAAGAAGGAGATGGAGCCCTATTCCGTGCCTACGGCTGGGGCATTCTACATGCATGATGATAGGTTTAGGGACAGTGCTGGCGGACGAAATAGGTAATGGAAACTTTTCCTTCAGATTTTGAGTGATTACACTTGGTCGAATCAAAGTGCTTGAGTGTTTTAAACGTTGAAATTTGTTTCTCAATGTGGATTAATAGCATAAGAATAAGAATTTATATTGCTTTCTCTTCAGATAAAGAAAGAAAAAAGAAAAGTAAATCTGATGAGGAGTTAAGAAAAGTCAGTCTGATGAGGAGATTGTATAAATTTGATTTCTGAAGTGAGATTGGTACCAGTGAACTTTATTTCGATTTTGGCCGAATCCATGTTTTTTGATTATTGATTGTGGGGAAAATAATGCAAGTTGAATGAAGGAATGTTGCATATTGTTGGAGAAGGCTTGTTCAATTTTCTTGTACGCATAGGCTCTGCCAAGGTTGTTCCTGGAAGGAGATGTATATGAAACTAGCTTAAGTTCAGTTAGGTTGAAGATCTCAATTTTGAATGGATACCGATGATCCCACCAATAATTGGCTTTGGTCTTGCTTTCTTTCTTCATCTTGTGTAAAAGGTTTATATTGTTAGCAAATATAAAAAGGGAAGATATGTTATCATTTTCTTTATTTTTGAGATTTTGGTCAGGATGCTCTCAAATAGCACATGTAATGTGCTGTGCCCATTAGTTCTTGTGGATTCATTATCCCCTTTGTGGAATTGAGTAAGATATCTTATGATTTTGGATTTTAGATCCACCACTTTCACCTATATTTATATAAACTAGATGTGTTTATCTCGAGGCTTTTCTGCCATTTCTTGATAAGAAAGAAGTGTATGATACAGTTTGAAAGGTTTATGTTGTTAGCAAATATAAAAAGGGCAGTTCCTTAAAGTTTTGTCCTACCATACTGATTTGCTTTAAGATATTGGGAAAATGAATCTGTCCACTTATTTTGGAGTTGATGTTCTCTAGGCGGATGCTTGGAGGAAGAAAGTTGTGGGAGTCCAAAGATGATATGAAATGGGGACACGATAAGTTTGAGGAGCTGACTTCACAGGAAAGGACTCACCAAGAGGTGAATATTCTGCATAGGTTTATAGATATGTACTTTCAATTTGAAGTGCTTTAACTTTTAAGAAAAGAGATTATTCATTTTTTCTTGGTTTCTCATTTGAATTACTACATGCAGCATAGAAGGAGGGGTCATCGGGGACGTAATCGAGGTCGTGGTCGGAATAGATATGCCCAAGAAAACATGCCTAGAGAAGTCACTAATAATGGCACCAAGAATAACAATCAGGACAGTGCTCCCAAGAGTTTTAGGGGGAGAGGACCTCGAAGGTATCAGTCATCCTCTAAGAACAAGGCGTCTCTTACTCAAGACAAACAACCGTGAGTAAAAATTTCTCCTCTCTTTGCTAAATGTTGAAGTCTTCGTGTTCTTATTTATTCATATATTTCATCTGTAGGTTGTGGAAATCAAAGGAGAAGCCTACGTATGTTCGTTCTGAAAAAACCAGTGAATCTATGTCTAGTGCGGGGCCTGAGACAGTGCTGCCGAGAAAACAAGTGCTTGCATCCAGTTTGAGCATTGCTTCCCCCCCATTTTATCCATCTGGCTCATCCACAAAAGACCACAGTGGCCCCAGTAACGAGTTACAAGCTGGCACTATTAATCGGCACGGTCAGCCATCAACAATTGGCATGGATAAGCTTTATATTGATGATTCACTTTCTGTTTCTACTGGAAAACCTGCAAACACTGGGCAAATGCCTTTGTCTGGTCAATTATCTTTGAACTCTGGTCGAGGAAAAGAACCAGCTTCATTGACTCAAGTCAACAGGGTAAATTCTGCAAACCAGCTGCAGGCAGCCCAGGGGAATCACAGTCAAATTCGTGGTCAGTCTTCTTTGCAGTTTACACCTCGTGGATCACGAGCTTCTTCCCCTTCAGAAACTAGTGGAACTGCGAGTGCAGTTGAATCTCTGGAAGCAGAGCCAAATAGATCCAAGACTGCATTGGTCCCTAAAGGAAAAGGCACCACTCATGGCAGTGGAAGGGGGTCCTTCTTGTATGGCGGAGCACATGTTATGGGGGCCTCTGGCAATATGAGCAGTGGTCATGGAGATCCGAATTTCCCGGCTTTTTTGCCAGGTGATATGAGTGCATGCTTTATCTTTCAGAGGAATTTATTGAGAAGCTTATTAAATTTTTTGCCTTTCTGGAATGTGCTTGATTTCTTTTATGTGATGCGTTTTGATTATACATTCATATTGTTGATACGCATGCGAAACGAACACTGCCATTTTTGCTGGGTCAGTGATTGAGCAGTTATTACCGAGACTCTCATGCTCTATCATTTTTCTTAAGCTGAATCATAGAGAATTTAGGATTTACTTTTTGTCCTTTCTCTAATATGATATGCATTAGATATAAGTTCAGTTGGAGAGTCTTTAGTAAGTTTTGTTTTGAGATGCCTATATTGTTTTGGACTGCAACAATAAATATTGTTCTTTCTGGTAGGATTTAGGAGTCTTTTTATTTATATTATTTTGGACTGGAGTACTATGTACTATATTCTCAGCGGTTATGTACTCAAGTGTTTTCCTGGGTCAGGTTGAGAAGAAACATGAAATGTAACAAAATCAAAATTTTAAAATTCCCCTGACTTACTGATAACACAATAGTGCATCACTGGATTTGGACATTGTCTTAGTCCCTCTTGTTCCGTTTGGTTACCAAACGTGCAAAATGGTTTACTTCATATTTGCTTGGTGGGTTATATAGTAATGCAGTTCGGCGGTCAGCATCCTGGAGGAATAGGAGTTCCTGCTGTTGGCATGGCCTTCCCTGGATATGTTGGTCAACCCCAGCTTGGTCGAGGGAGTTCAGAAATGACCTGGTAATAACTATTAACACTATGCAGTCTTTTCGGCAAACACATTAGGTGATTGGAAGTAGAAGTCAATCATTATTATTTATTTTCTAACAAAACTAATTCGGGAAAAAAAAGGAAACCATTCATTTAATCCAAAAAAATTTCCTACAATTGCACTAACACGGTTAAAAATTAAAAGTCAAATCATTATTAATATATTTTCTAGTATAAAACACTATTCACTCACAAATTCTAACTACCAGTCATTACCAGTTAAAATTTTATTTCTTTTAAATCACATCAACTTTAATCATTATGTTTTTACCTTATATCTGTAATAGTTCACTTCTCCTAAATCATCCACTGTTCTATCTTATTTTCTGACGAGACAATTTTCTTAATTTTTTTTAAATATAATCGCAAACCTAAATTGCTCTACTTGGCCTGTTTAGCAACAAACTTGATTATGTTTTCTTTACTGTCTATTCTTGAATCAGCTTCTTTTTTCATTTTTATTTTTTTAAAAAAAACTTTCATTTCATTGATCGATTATATGATATCTTCATCATCTAGTTAACTTTCCATAATTTTAACTTGATATCTACTATTTCTTATTAAGTTTATTTTACAATGTTAATCAGGCTGCCAATTTTAACTGGTCCTGCTGGGGCACTGGGGGCAAGATATGGTGCTCCCTTTGCTGTTGATGATTCATATCAGGCTCGCCCATCGGGACAAATATCTTCCGTAAAGGCTGCTTCAAGGTAGATAGGATAGTGAATGTAATTGTAACCACACAATCATGGCCTTACTGGTTACCAATATTACTGAGTGCCATCATCAATCTCTATATATCATGTTTGTTGGATATGTTTCCACGTTTCTCTATCATTATGAACTTCTGATTTTCACACATTTAAACATTCATTTACTTATTTGCCATGCCTTGTGTTATCCAATTTCTCGAATAGATGTGGTAAGTTTTTATTGTGGTTGAATGAATAAGGTTTCTTCATCTCATCTCTTTTTTATTTGTAACAACCAGTAAACAAATTGTTGTTATTGCAGTAAAGAACATAATACAACGAATTCCGTGGGTGAAATGGACTCTGCACGGGGACCTGGTTAGATACAATGAACTCTTTATTCCTCTAATCTATTTGAAATTCTGTCCCATACATAACTCGGAACTTCATAATTTGACCAGAGCTTGAAAATAATGACTTCGGCCAGAGGCAAAAGAATCCTCGCAGGCAAGTGGAGTTTTGTATGTAGCGTTGATTTAAAATTGTGGTTCTTTCTGCTGATGAAGATAATTGCATTTATTGATTTGCAGATACACAGAGATGAAATTTGACCAGTGAACTATTTACCAAGCCAGAATAACTCAGAAATAGTCGCACTCAAGATTTCTTCCATCTGTTGGTTGTTGCGGAGTTTATTGGTTGTGCTTTTGGTTCTACAAACCTTTTTCTTTTGGTTCTACGAGCCGTTTTATTAGGCCCTTTGTGTCCTACGAATGATCTGGAGTACATATGGGCTTCCTCTTATTCTGAGATAAATTAGGTAATGGCTCTTAATTTGAGGATTTTTTTAACCCTTTTTTTTCTCCCTCTGTACAAGCCTCCAAATTTTAGACTTCTCCATCTACTGTGGGATAAATTTCAAAAGCTACTTATTAGGTATGGCACACTGATATAAAAAAATTTTAAGTTATGATTTCCCGCTTGAGGTGTTATCAAACATTTCCTTGAGGTTTGTAATTTCTTACACAACGTAGGGTGCTCATTTATACTAAAAACAGATCTGAGGTATTTTTTCTCTTGTTAAATTCTTTATGGTATGCTAATTTCGAAGGTGATTCGGTAAAGGAAAACAACCATTCATGATTCATTGTGTGCCGTCTCTATCATAGTCTGGTCTACATAAGATCATGTTTGATTGCCATTTTCTTTATTCAACTTCTGTTGTCTAATTTCTAGTGTGATTTCCATCCCAATTTGGTTCTCGCCGCTTTTGAGTTCGTACTCATTTTTTATTTTTATTTTTCTGAGTAGGTATTGCATGAAAGAAAACGCCTGTTCTTGCTGCTTGGTCAAAGGAAGAATATTGCAGCTTGATGGGTGGCAGTTTGTTGCAGTTATATGCTGTAAGAACATAAATAAATCCTACATAAGATAAAAAAAGACAACCCATCAGGTTTGGCCTAGATATGATAGGAAGTTACTTAAAATCCCCTCTTTTTGTTCGTATATACAAATTGTACCCACAAGACTGAGCTGAGTTACAACGAGGTTAGCAAGTTTAAGAGTGTATTTGGAAGTTTAAAAGATAACTGGAAAATTTGAAATATCTTCTAATGAAGTTCAGCATCATTTATACCTGAAATACGGGTTCCTTGGTATTAATAGTCTGACAAGTAGTTACGTTTGCAGGTTCTTGTGCACTCGTCTCTCAGTGAAAGCATGTTAGAAGATTGTTAGATTTGTTGGAACCCTAAGATGTTGAACAATCGTCTTCTTCTCGTCCCAAGTTTGAAGTAATTATTGAAGAAATATGAGGCTGCTGCTGATTGATTTTATTGAATGAAGTACTTTTCTTTTCTCTCTTTCCAGGCTGCTATCATAAATCTGTACTGGTTGCTCATTTCCTTGTTCTCTGATACTCTTGTTTTGATTAATCTTCTTATCCTGTGTTTTTCTTGGTGTTAAATTATTTCCTATGCTTGAGTATATCTTTTGATGGTGACGAAAGTGTGGTTTCTTATGAATTGTGGCAATGGGATTATTAGGGCGTTATTAACATTTTCATTTTCATCTCACGCACACCTTTTTTTCGTTATTGTGTACATAATTTGTAATTAATCTCAATTCTTTTGCATTAATTAGATCCATGCAATTTGTTCACCAAAATTTAAATGTTATCGTGCCTTTATATACAAGTATTAAACCATTAATTAACATATTTTATTTTATTTTGGTTCTGTATATCAACTTAAATTATTATATATTNGAACGATAGGAAAATAGCATTAAAAACTCGAGGGAACAAAGTTCGAATACAAACGCGACCAACAACCGAAAAAGAAACATGAGAGGACTCGCAAAAAGCGGCCTAGAGAGATCCCACATACGGGATATATAATTTTTCATATTGCTAAATAATTTTTTCTTATGGATTCATTCAGGAATCGTTTTCCTTTCACATCAAACTTTTTAATGATTTTTCAAATAAATATTTTTTTTTTCAAATAAATATTAACTTTTGGTGTTTTAAATTTACTATTCATTCTTAATTGTCATATATTATTTTATTGTTATAAATCTCCACAACTTAGTATACAGTCTCAATTTATTCAACTTTGCCATTTTATTACAAAAAGTTTGAACACATTAATAGAATCAATCAAGTTCAAAGGAACTAACAATCGGATTTGTTTAGTAATAACAGGTATGAGATTTTTTTTTGCAAAATTATATTAATAACTTGAAAATTTAAAAGAGTACAAACGAGGTGTCAACAGACACCAGAAAACAGTCTGGACTAACTCCATTGGATTACACATGAGATTAAGGGTGAACAAACTTCATAAAAAAGACACAAACAACCGCCAAACAAAAACTCTATAAAGGAGATTCACATTCCCATACAGGAGACTGGGACAAGACGACGTTGAACATAACAAAACGACAAACAAAGAAAGACAAAAACAAAATACGCATACCTAATAAACAAGTACAATTATACTTCCTCTAAATCTAGTAGACAGACGGTACGACTTAACAAAATGACTAGAATCACATGTATGAGATTAAATTAGATATTTATAGTTAAATTGAAGGTTTGCCTCAAAATCATCTAATTGTTATATTTTTCGCGAATATATATTTCGATTAACTTTTCATGTATTAAAGAATTGATTTTGAAAAAGCGTGTGGAATGACATTTTTGAACAAACGTGTTGCATAGTCAAATTGATATAATTTTTTATCCATATGAAAATTTAACTATTTGAATATCATGTCTAATAATCGAAATCTATTACTTACCAATTTTTTACCAAATACATAAATAAAATCAGTTAATACATTTATGTAGTCAAACTAGTTAACACACGTTGCTCATTCAATTAGGTATCAATCGGGTTGATTTGAAACTCTTATAAAAACAAAGTCCCTATCCAGGGTTTTTAGTTCTATCTTGAGATTCTCAGTTCCAGCGATTGGATTTAGTTTTAGCGGTTGATTCTCCAGTATGATTTCGATCTTGGCTTTTGTTTGATCAGCTTCCTTGGTAGTCCTTCTTAGATGTCTCTGGGTCGCTTCTTTGTCGCTTAATCTTTTCTTGTGTTGCTGTTGCTGTCGGTGGGTTTTTCTCGTCTTGTTTGTGGAGAATGGGGTGTAGGATTCTGAGATTTTAATCTTGTTGCCTTCTTCTCTATCTATTGTTGTTGCCAGGGTTTCTTGCCGGTATGTTATTTCCTTTGAACTTGCTATTTAATTTGTGAATTGCTGGATTTGGTGTTTGGAACATTGCAATATGTGGTCTATTGGGAACTGTTGTCTTGAATTTGGATGTTTTTTTGAATATGTATTATTTGGTGATAGTTGTGGGGTGCTGATATCTGCTACTTGGATTTTTCTTTGTTTTGGTTGTTATTTTGTTTTGTGCTGTGGTTAGTTTTTGTTAGGGGTGGTTGTCTGGTCTCTTTTAGGTTAGGTAGCTCGTGGTTGCTGAGGCTTGTTTGGAGGTGGTAGTTTGCTGCTCTGTTTTGGTTCTTGCAGTATCATGTTTGGGCTGGGGTTTAATCTCTGGGGGTTGGGTTGATTGTGTGTTAGTCTTTTGTTCTTTTGTTGCTTGTAGTGTTCAGGGGTTTTAAGAGGCTTTGGGTTTTTTAGTTTCTGTTTTGTAGGGTGGTGCTGTAGTAGTTATGGATCAGGATTTGGCAGACAAGCTTGCTAAGTTTAAGCTTTCTGACATAGAGTTAGGGGTGGAGTTATCTGTGGATGACATTTCCTAGTCTTAAAGAGTGTCAACTAAGTCTCATTGGGAAAATTTTTGGGGATAAGAAAGCCAATCTGAGTGGGCTCAAAACTACCCTGAATAGCATTTGGGTTACTAAGAAGGATTTTTTAATCCGCAGTCTGTGTAATAATAAATTTCAGTTTCAAGTGTGAGGAAGATAGGGATAGGATTTTACAAGGGAAAACCTGGTCCTTTGATGGACGGTATATTCTTATGAAGTTATGGAGACCTGAAGGAAATGATTCTCTAAGGAGGAGGAAGTCATAAAACTTTGGGTCCACATTTTAAATCTTCCCTTACATTGGATTTCTGTTAAGACAGGTCTGAAAATAGGGAAAAGAATTGGTAAGGCTTTGGACTTCCAAATACCTGGCACAAGTTTTGAACTTAATGTGAATGACCCTCTGCCTCGAGGTTCCCTGCTTAAAGTGGGATCTGAGTCCACCTGGGTGGATTTTAGATATGAGAACTTGCAATCTTTTTTATTTTATTGTGGAAGGATTGGGCACTCAGATAGGAGCTGCTTGACTAAACTTGAGGATGTCAAGAATAATGAGCTGAATGTTGGTCAGTATGGTGAATGGTTGAGGGTTAGTTCAGGGTTCTCAAGATACTCTAAGAGCCCTAACTCTAGTAACCATGGGAGTCAGTTTAGTGATGGTGAGAGGGACACTAGGGCTGATCAGCTGGTAACTAGAAGTGAAGTGGCGGAAGGGGTTAGAAATAGTGTGTCTTCTAGTCAGATTAATCAACCTGTGGGGGAGAAAGTCAGTAGTGAATCTGAGAAAGTGGTTTCTCCTGGAAAGTTAGTGCTAACTACTCCTAGGAGGGAAGAAAGTCCAATCTTGAACCCTCATATTCCTGTAACTACTGATGTGGAAAATCCTGTTATTTCTGAGGCTGAGCTTGTTGAAGTAACAATACAACCACCTTTGGTTGGGAAAAAGATGGGATTGAGGAAAAAGACCACTTTTACTAGGAAAGTCAGAGCTAGCAAACAGGCTAGCTCTGAAATAATGCAGGTAGATAAAGTGGGGAGTTCAGGGGTTAAGAGTGGAGAGATGGCTTCTCAGAAAAGAAGGTGTGAGAGCATGTCAGATGGGGGGGTTAGTAGAGGAGTGTAATAGGAAAATGGGTAAGAAAGTTAAGCTATCTGGGGATATTGTTTTACCTGAGGGGGTGGAGACCAGCCCAATCTGGTCCCACAGTTCCCAATGAAGGTTTCAGTGTGGAATTGTAGAGGTTTGGGAGGGCCCTCTACAATTTTCCAGTTTAAGGAGTCCTAAAGGACCCACCACCCAGATTTAGCTTTTTTATCTGAAACCAAAAAAAAAAAAGAAAAAGAAAAATTCGTTATTTCTATGTGTAAAAAGCTTAAGCTGCAGGATAGGTGGATTTATGTGAAGCCTGAGGGTAGAAGAGATGGGTTATTTTTAATCTGGTCAGAGAATATCTCTCTGCTTGAGGTTTGCAGCTTAGGCTTTTTTTTTAGAAGTTTGTTTTAAGTTGAAAGGTATGGATTCTAACTTTTGGGCTGTGTTTGTCTATGCTAGCACTAATCAGGAAGTGAGAGCTAGACAATGGGAGGTTTTTGTTAGGCATAGTTTAACTTGGGGTAGGACTTGGATTTTGTGTGGGGACTTTAATGATATTCTTTGTCATGAGGATAAAAAGGGTGGGATTAAGAGAGAGGAGTCTAGTTTTGCTATGTTTAGAGACTTTGTTAGGACTTTAGGTGTGGCTGAAGTCAGGACTACTGGCCATCCCTTTACCTGGTCCAACAATAGGAAAGGTGCTGCCTTTGTGGAAGAAAAAGTAGACAGATTTTTTGTTTCCCCTGATTGGTTGTTGCAGTTTCCTAATGCTATGGTGAGGCATATAAATCTAATATCTTCTGATCACTATATGATTTTGTTGGATTGCTTGCCTGATATTTTGTCTGCTAAGAAGAAGAATTTGTTTCTTATGCTTCTTGGATTCATATGGAGCATTTTAATTCTGTTGTTGAGGGGGCTTGGAATACCCCAGTGGCAGGGCATGCTTTGTTTAGCATTCAGGATAGGTTGAGAAATGTTAGGGTGAAGCTTTTAGAGTGGAATAAGTCTCATGTTATTAATGTTAAATTGGTTATAGAAGACTGTAAGACTAAATTGAGCCAACTTAGAGAGTTAGGAGGGGATAGAGATTGGGGGGAATGGGTTTTTCATAAATCTGAGTTGCATTTAGCTTATAAGATTGAGGAAAATTTTTGGAAGCAAAAGGCTAGGGTGTATTGGCTTCAGGAGGGTGATAGGAATTCTAAGTATTTTCATGCTTGTGTGAATCAAAGGAGAAATCTTAATAGATTAGATGGGATTTTGAAAGCTGATGGCTCTACTTGTGTTAACTCTTCTGATGTGTTATCTGAGCTGCTTGCTTACTTTGAGAATATCTTTAAATCATCTAATCCACTTGATGAAATGTGCTCCCTTGAGGGCATTCATTGTACAATCACCGAGGAGGACAATGCTGAATTGATTAAGAAAGTTGATGAATCTGAGATTAAGTCTGCTTTGTTTGATATGGCTAAAGATAAAGCACTAGGAGTTGATGGCTTTACTGCTTTGTTTTTTCAAAATTCTAGGCTAACTCTGAAACATCATGTTTGCTTAGCTATTGATAACTTTTTTGCTAAAGGAAGGATTCCTAGGGGGTTAAACCACACTGTTATCACTTTAATCCCTAAAAAGAAAAACCCCACTTGTGTTGCTGACTTTAGGCCTATTAGCTTATGCTCTGTAGTGTATAGACTTATTGCTAAAGTGATTGCTAATAGGCATAAACCTGTTTTGCCTGTGTGTATTTC